TTTGACCTTGGAACCCTGAAACTGTACTCGATGTAAATGCGTAAATTTGTATCATAAGAAATGTTGCTGGAGCAATATGGCATTGAGTTGGGACCAGACAGGATGCAATAAGTCAGGATATTTATTTAAGGACATTGTAACACTATGCTTCCCCATAAAATAGTGGGGGCATTAATATGGTGCCATTTCAGGATGATCATTGTTGTCTTGTTGCATTTCAGATGAACATGCACCATCTCCGCTCATTTCACAAATTACTGGCACAATTTTGATGTTTTTCAAATGATTTATTCATCAAGCAAATTTCAGCGTCAGTGATTTTGTGAAAGGTGATTATTCAGTAGCTACAACATGCACATAATTCTAATTTTTAATAGAGCTTCGACAGACTAATATAAGTAATATGGCAGCGATTCAGATTCATTTGGGAAGACCCTTAACTTCCTATGACCTTTTGGGATTTCAAAATTGTCTATTTCTATCTAACATCATTGCAGTAACCACAAGAATGTTCCATTTTTATTAATGTTTGACTTGAGATCAATTTTTTTCCAACACATTTGATAACCTAAAGATATCCATATCGGGTCATACACCGGGTAGATAAACAAGAGGCCCAAGAGGGCCTGTATCGCTCACCTGAATATTTAAGCAGTCATAGCAAAATATTCTCATTAAATATCATATTGCACTAAAAATATTTCCCTCGCAAACTTTGTTGGCTCCATCTGTTGAAACTACCAGCAAAATATTATTATAAGATTCTATGCTTTTTGATTCTTCTTCAGAAGTTGCTTGACATATTTTTCCCTGTGATCTTGTAAGTAGGTCAATGTCATTTTCCTTCTCAAATTGGTTAGCTCTATTCCAAAAAGCTACCAGCCAAATCTTATGAATCCATTCCTTTTAGTTCTCAAGAACAAATCCATTAAAATGTTGTTGACCTCTGTGACCTCTAAAGTAGGTTGAGGTCATTTTCATTTGCAAACTTTGGTGAGCTCTATCCCGGGAAGTCACCAGCCAAATATTATAATTTTATGCCTTTTAATTCTTCAGAAGAAGCTGTTTGAACTGTTTGACATATTTGAACGCTGTGACCTTGAAAGTAGGTCAAGGTCATTTTCATTCGCAAACTTTGTTTGGCTCTTTCCCAGGAAGCCACCTGCCAAATATTAAGATTTTATAACTACCAGTTCTTCAGAAGAAGTCGTTTAAAGTGTTTGACATATCTGCCTCATGTGACCTTAAAAGAAGGTCAAGGTCATTTTCATTCTCAAACTTTGTTCGGCTCTTTCCTAGGAAGCTACAAGCCAAATATAGAGATTATATACCTTTCAGTTCTTCAGAAGAAGTCGTTTGAAGTGTCTGACACATTTGACTCCTGTGACCTTGAAAGAAGGTCAAGGTCATTTTCATTCTCAAACTTTGTCGGGCTCTATCCAAGGAAGCCATCAATCAAAAATAAAGATTCTATACCTTTCAGTTCTTCAGAAGAAGTCATTTGAAGCTTTTGACATATATGACCCCTGTGACCTTGAAAGTAGGTCAAACTAGTTTTCATTCTCAAACTTTGTTGGGCTCTATCCCAGGAAGCCACCAGCCAAATATAAAGATTATATACCTTTCAGTTCTTCAGAAGAAGTCGTTTGAAGTGTTTGACACATTTGACCCCTGTGACCTTGAAAGAAGGTCAAGGTAATTTTCATTCTCAAACTTTGTTGGGCTCCATCCAAGGAAGCCATCAGCCAAATATGAAGATTCTATACCTTTTAATTCTTCAGAAGAAGTCGTTTGAAGTTTTTGACATATTTGACCCCTGTGACCTTGAAAGTAGGTCAAACTAATTTTCATTCTCAAACTTTGTTGGTCTCTATCCCAGGAAGCCACCAGCCAAATATAAAGATTCTATACCTTTCAGTTCTTCAGAAGAAGTCGTTTGAAGTGTTTGACACATTTGACCCCTGTGACCTTGAAAGTAGGTCAAGGTCATTTTCATTCTCAAACTTTGTTGGGCTCTATCCCAGGAAGCCATCAGCCAAATATGAAGATTCTATACCTTTTAGTTCTTTAGAAGAAGTCGTTTGAAGTTTTTGACATATTTGACCCCTGTGACCTTGAAAACAGGTCAAGGTCATTTTCGTTCTCAAACTTTGTAGGGCTCCTACCAACGAAGCTTTCAGCCAAATATCATGACTCTAGGCCTGTCCTTTCTTCAGAAGAAGTTGTTTAAAGGAAAAGTTGACGGATGAGGACGGACGGACGACTGACGCCGCGCCACGGCATAAGCTCACTTGGCACTTCGTGCCAGGTGAGCTAAAAAGTAATTATGGGGAAACAATATGTACGTCATGTGTAGTTGTCTGTAGTATATAAATATACCACACGACATCTTCTGTCTTCTTACATCATAAGCCTACCTTTACAATGTAACATTTGTTTTCAATACTCACTCCTTGTTTGTCATTGGTTTTCTAATTAAGTCTGCATACCAGCTTAAAGAAGGGGGATTCTAAGTACAAACTACCATTAATGCTATCATTATATATCACTGCAGACATGAGTGCCAACATAATTCTAACAAAAATTTACACAAGATTTGGTTGCAAACACCAATATTTGAAAACATTTTTTTTTTTTTTTTATCTAAGATTATAGAGACTATATGTGTACAAAGCAATACACCTACTTATAACGTACTGGTGTATTACCTAAACTTCAAAGGTAAAATTGACATCTCTTGATTTATCGTTTTTTGAACTTATGTACGTACATGTCTACCAGGATGTATCAACACTACAGACTTCAAAACTGATTTCTCCAAGGCTAATATATAGGAATACATGTTCGAACAATGTTTCCTCTGATAAAAATATGCTTCATATACTATATGTATTTTTTCTTTCTTAGTTTAAAACACCCTCAGACATTGCTGCTAGCCTGGGTCCTAAATTTCAATAAATTTGTATCTACACTAGTACTCCTGTATGTAAATAGGTATACAATTGTATATCAAAACCAGACACTGTCGTTTTCCTAACCTTGTTTGTGAGATCGACCCTTTACTGCTCATATGTATGAGCTGCTAGTATTCAGCAATCCTGATATTGAAAGGTTAAATAAGATTTTGAAATGAACATGCCTCTTAACAATGTAAAAAAAATCTAAGATTTAAATTAATAAGATTTAGCTTTTGTGTTGTAACAGGAATGGGTGCTTCCACTAGGGATCGAACCAGTGACCCCTAGCTTCCCAGCCATCTGCTCTACCGATTGAGTGTGTGTACGGTTTTAAAAGTAGAAACTATTCCTTTCAGTGTCATGTAACATTTACTTTGGATCCATTTCAAGGAAATTTTTACAGACAGGCAGGAGAGTTCTTCTCACTAAAATATTGATTCTAGAGGCAAAGTAAACTGCCTAGGAGTATGGGGGCTTACCATCACACCCCTAGCCTTAAGATTTAAGTCACCTGCAGACATGCCACAATGAGCTTGGGGACCTCCCTGTGCTCGCACCGTATCTCAGACTTTCCAATTCACTTCGATCCAGCTGCCTGAGACTGAACTCTGTCCTGGGGAGCTCACCCTTAAACCTACTCCAATCGGTCAAGTCCACACTTTATAAGGTAATCTGGATGGAACTCTCTAGTCACAAACATTATATTGGTGAAGGCCGTGTTTTATCACGATTCGTTTCAAGACACAGTGTCAACAATTGCCATGCTTCTAAGGAGCAAATTAAGTCCCTAGACTTTCTTACCTCCATCGATTCCAACATCCAATCATAATGGACAATTTTGAAAGCTCTACATCATCATCAGAAAGTATTTTTAAAAAGGAAAATAAATGAATGCCAATTGTTAAAATAATTATATGTATTCAAGCAGTATAATGAAACAAGCATCATGGAATAGTACAAAGTACTTGTTGCTCTTTTATATCTCATACCGTAAAATCAATCACCCTATATCTGTATTTGATGTGTAAGTCAGTTGAAAAAGATCTGAATAACAATTGATATTGAACCCAATCAACACTGTCAATTTGATATGCTAGAGGATGGCATAACAATCATGTATATTACTTTCATAAATGGGGCCCAGTTTTTGGAAGACACTTTTTAAAGAATCCTTCATTGCATTTAATGCATGTTTCCCCGCAATTACATGTTGTCAGGAAATATTTAACTTGCAGCTAATCAGGTTCGAACACTTCCTGATCACTTCACAAAATATCTACAGACCTTCCTTTTTCCCAAGTTTGACCTGAGTATTTCTACTACGGGTATATATATATATATATTTGTTTGTTTGTTTGGGTTTGACGTCCTGTATTAACAGCTATGATTATAAGGAAGTGCCAGGTTTTGGTGCTGGAGGAAAGCTGAATTATCAAGAGAAAAACCATCAACTTGCAGTCAGTACCTGGCGACTGCCCCACTTGTGTTTCGAATCAAAGACCCAGTGGTGGAGGGATACAGCTAGTGATCATAGACAATCAGACACCTTAACCACTCTCCCGCTCAGCCCCCTATACATATCTACCACCTTAACCACTCGCCCGCCGTGGCCCCTATACATATCTACCACCTTAACCACTCGCCCGCTCAGCCCCCTATACATATCTACCACCTTAACCACTCTCCCGCTCAGCCCCCTATACATATCTACCATCTTAACCACTCGCCTGCCGTGGCTCCCTATACATATCTACCACCTTAACCACTCGCCCGCCATGGCCCCCTTTACATATCTACCATCTCAACCACTCGCCCGCCGTGGCCCCCTATACATATCTTTAAACATCATTACACCTGATAAAAGTATGATCATGTTTACGTAATTTATATGAAACCATTGTGTACGATTTCATGGAGAAAAGTGAAATGATGTAAAATAGATTTTGAACGAATTAATGAAAATTTGCTCGATGGAAAATTAACTGTAGTTCCTGTGTATGACAATGTTACATGGATTGGAGACTGCATGTTGTTCATTCTTACCTCGTCACTCTCTGATGGGTCAACGTTTCCATTCTGGTCATCGTCTATGAGGTGGTGGATCTGTTGGATGGCTGCGAATTCGTCTGTCTCATCTTTGAGTGGCCTGCTGTGACATCTCTTGTCATCTGGCCGACACGTGTCTGAAACAGCATAGAGAAACATTCAACAACTTCTAAAAGGAAGTACAAAATGTTCATGAACTCAAAACAATTTTAAGAAAATATACTGGAAAACTCATAGCTTTAATCATTATTCTGCAAAAACAACCACTTAATGTTTAGAATAAAACACATTCCTGGTTTAAATACATACATGTATAGTCACCACTGCACATCTTTTTTAACAAAGAGCCATAAATCTATATATACATGTAGAAGGATACAGGACACATCCTGCCAAGTGTTTTTATTTACAAAATTTGGAAATTGTAGGCGACAAGGCTGAAGCGTACAGTGAATATGGTTATATATACCATGGACAAAATATTTTTTTATTGTAATGTATGGTGAACAAAGGGTCATAACTCTGTGTACATACACACCACCAAATTTTAGTATGACAATAATACGCCATACCAAAAGGTACTCGCATAAAAAGTTTACCAATTGTAGCTTAGATAGCAAGATGATATCAGATGGACGTACATGTGGGAAAAAAGGCCATAACTTGGTGTATATATATACTGGTGCATGAAACTTGATTTCAATACCAGGCATTACAAGATTTATTCATATAAAAAAATTGATAGTTGTAGGTGGAGGAGTATATATATAAAATAAGTTCTGAAAAAACTCTCTAACTCGAGAGCAAAATAGTACATGTCCCATCCAATAGTACTATTGGAGCACTAATAAGTTCTACGAAACATAAAATTATATTTGCATGAGCCTGTCGTCAGATGTATTATACATTTGACATATTGTATAGACTAATTTTTATATTCTGTAATATAGATGAAGTGTTGCACTGAAGTTAAATTGTAAATATTGACATTTTGTTCGGCTGTTACCCTATATATAGATCTCGATTAAATACACAGGTCTGACACTAGATGAATATCAGACAGGTAATCTACATGTGTTAATTGAGAGTGACTCATGACTCAGGTAAAGATGAAAAGATGGATGGTTGCTGTGGGACATACCTGTAGGTATTAAATTACCTGTAATTTAGAAACAGGTAAGATCTACAGGTAGGGTTATACATTCCCAATCTACAGCTCAAGACTGTTGTGTACAAGTTAACTTTCACTGTTCACCATATATATTCTTAAGTCTCTTGGTCAATATTCACATACATGTATATGTGTGAGCTTAAGAGTTTCTCTTTTAAATAACCAATAAAGACAGGTTTAAACAATATTAACTGAACATTTTTTGCTGCATAGGACTTTAAATGTGTTGTGTTTCTTATTCAATTCATGAAATGTGTCAAGAAGCTTTCATTTAGAAAGGTCACATGGATACATGTATGTTAATTAATATCTGCTGAGCAACAATGGAAACTTTGGGCATGTATGAAATGAAAGCAAATTCAAGAACCATTTATCAAAGCATGAAAACTTTATTCTTATATTCCTAAAAGCATATAACCTCTGACCATCATCAAATGTTCAATGTTGCTATTCTGCCTTAATGCTTATTATCTTCAATACAATGTCACAATGGCTTATAACATACATTTTATCACTGTTGTTGTAGGGAAACATAGGTCTTTGTTTCCCCTCAAGTATTGACATGCTTCTGGAAAAATATCATTACCCTGGACCTTTTGGTTATACAGAACAAATCATTTAAAGATTTAAACATATATTGACCACTGTGACCTTGAATATGGGCGAAGGTCATTCACTTGGTAGTCCTTCATCCCAGCATGTTTAATGGCCAAATATCCTCACCCTTGGCCTTTTGCTCCATTCAATGGTTTAAAACATATTTGACCCCTGTGACCTTAAAATATATATGTCAAAGTCATTCATTTGAACTTGGTAGTCCTTCATCCCAGCATGTTACTGGAATTATCCTAGGCCTCTTGGTTATTCAGAAGAAGTTGTTTAAAGGTTTAGAACATATTTGACCCTGTGACCTTGAAAAAAGACGAAGGTCATTCATTTGAACAAACTTTATAGCCCTTCATCCCAGCATGCTACAAGCCAAATATCATCACCCTAGGCCTATTGGTTGTTCAGAAGAAGTTGTTTAAATGTTTAATACATATTTGCCCTCTGTGACCTTGAATATAAGTCAATGTCATTCAGTTGAACAAACTTCATCCCAGCATATTACTGCCCAAATATCATCACCCTATGTCTCTATGTTATTCAGAAAAAGTTGTTTAAAGTTTTCAAACATATTCGACCCCTGTGACCTTGAAAGTGGGTCAAGGTCATTTATTTCAACGAACTTGGTAGCCCTTCATCCCAGCATATTACTGGCCAACTATCATCACCCAAGGCCTCTTGGTTATTCAGAAGAATTTTTTTAAATGTTTTTAACATATATGACCCCTGTGACCTTGAATATAAGTCAAGGTCATTTATTTGAAAAATCCTGGCTGCCCTTCATCCCAGCATGTTACTGGCTAAATATTATCACTCTATGTCTCTTGGTTTTTCAGAAAAAGTTGTTTAAAGTGAAAAGTTGACGCCGGACGGAGCCGCACGATGCCATAAGCTCACTTGGCCCTTCGGGCCAGGTGAGCTAACAAGAATCATAATGGAGGTGTACATGTGGTGGCTCTGTCATTTTTTTCTGGAGCGACTTCCCATAATAGAAACATGATCATGGAAACTTGAGTGTATGAGGGTGACATAATGTGTATCTCCATGTCTTGTCCAATCAGACAGTCTTCTCTTCACTACATATTCGAAACAAACAACACAACGAGCAAATCACATTTGCCAGACCAACCTGTCGTGAAGATAGAGAAAAAAAAATGTGTGACTGCACTGGTAGAACGACAGCTAGAGAATGAACTCACCCCCTGTACGCCACGAGTACACCGGCCCACTGGCTGCACGGGCCGCTCGTGCCAGAGAAGACAAATAATTCCCTCTATACTCCGAACCGCGGGAATATTCAAATATTGCAAGCTGTTATATACATGAGATTAGTAAAATTGCTAATTCACTGCACAGTAACTTAGTCACATTGTAAACAAGAGGCCCAATGGGCCTGCATGCATCTCTCACCTGGTATAAATCTCACAATTGTAACCTTAAAAGTGATTTAAAGTAAAACTACAGGCAAAATATTCATTCAAAAGAACCTGTTATTTTTTTTTAAAACATTTCACCCCTATTATTGAAAGTCGAACAAAGTTATTATGTTGAACAAATTGTATAGCCTTTCATCTCAGGATGCAACTTGCAAAGTATCAACATCCTGGGACCCATGGTTATTCAGAAGAGGTTGTATAAAGATTTTAATCAAATTTGACCCCTGTGACCTTGAATATAATTCAAAGCCATTCACTTTAACAAACAAAGTAGTCCTTGATCCCAGCATGCTACTGACTAAATATCAACATCCTGAGCCTTTTGGTTATTTAGAACAAGTTCTTTAAATATTTCCAACATATTTGCTCCTTGTGACCTTGAATATGAGTCAAGGTTATACATTTATACTAACTTGGTAGCCCTTGATCCAAGTATGCTACTGACTAAATATCATCACCCTGGGCATTTTGGTTATTCAGAAGAAGTTGTTTAAGATTTTAACATATTTGACACCTGTCACCTTGAATATGGGTGAAGGTCATTCATTTGAACAAACTTTGTAGCCCTTCCTCTCAGCATGCTACTGGCCAAATATCATCACCATGGGCATTTTGGTTATTCAGAAAAAGTTGTTTAAAGGTTTGTTTAAGACAATTGACCCCTGTGACCTTGAATAAATTGAAGGTCATTCATTTGAACAAACTTGGTAGCCCTTTACCCAAGCATGCTACTGGCCAAATACCATCTCCCTTGGCAGTTTGGTTATCGAGAAGAATATGTTTAAAGTTTTTAACATATTTGACCCCTGTGACTTTGAAAATGTTTTTTTAACAAACTTTGTAGCCCTTCATCCCATTTTGCTTCTGGGCAAATTTCATCACCCTAGGCCTTTCGGTTATTAAGAAGAAGTCGTTTAAAGTAAAATATTGACTCCGGACGGACAGCATGGGACGGACAGATGACGGACGCCGCGCCACTTCGTGCCAGGTGAGCTAAATAAACATAACTATATAACTGCTTCATATTTAAATTTCACTAAAAGATTTTACATAAAGCATATATTTGTCAGCTATTTCCTGTCTACATGTGACGATTAAAACATCAGTTTTTGGATGATGGATTCCATAATATTTTTGTTTCTGCTGTCATGTGATGAGAGTGCATCATAATATGACAGTTGATGGACACCAGCGCAGCGACCATGTGAGGAAGGTCACATGATCCTGACCCTTCAGTTGGAAATTCATATGAAGTACTACCACATAGCTACATCTGTATACATAAAGTCAAGGACATCTCTTGACTGCCTGCAGGGGTATATTAGTACATGTACACTGAGTAATCAGTATGAACGTGCCACATACTGTACTATATTCAGTACATTTCAATTTTGAAAATCAAAGACAATGAAAATATGATTTGGGGTTGAAATCCTTCAAATATGTGTGTTTTAATTAAAAATAATCTCCAAAAAGTACATGTGCATTTCTGTTTACAGTTTCCGGAAATAAACAGAAAAAAGTGGACTGATTCTGAGAAGGCTTCACTTCGGTTGTATGTGAAAGAAAATCCTGTACCCACTGAAGGTGTAAACAAATATTGGAATAGATGTGCTGACTACATCAATAACAAGAGGCCCATGGGCCTTAACGGTCACCTGATATATTTATACAGAGAGTTGATTTTGTTTTTAACATGTACAGAAATATTATTCAAAGTGACAAAAAAACAATAAAACCACCTTATTCAATATCTAGCATACAGATTTAAGACTAAAAAGTATTTGAAACTAGCACCTCTGATTCTAAACAAGGAAAATGAAGAAATTTTAGCACACTGACTCCTTTGGGCCCCACCCTACAGCCCTTGGGGGTAGGGCTGGCTCAAAATTTTCAAAGTATCAAACTGTCAACTCAAGGTTAT